CTGATCACCGTCATCATCATCCGCATCTTTGTCCACATCATCATCATCGTCACCATCATCGTCATCATCATCCACACCCACGTCATCATCCTCATCATCATCCTTATCATGATCATCATCCTCATCTTCATCATCATCATCGTCATCGGCATCATCATCACCATCCTCGCCCACCTCATCATCATCGTCATCATCATCACCAGCCACATCCACGTCGCCATCATCATCATCATCATCGTCATCATCACCACCATCATCATCATCAGCGTCATCGTCGTCGTCATCGTCATCGTCATCATCATCACCACTATCATCATTATAGGCATCGTCATCGTCATCGTCATCACCCTCATCATCATCACCATCGGCATCGTCATCGTCATCGTCATCGTCGTCATCATCAGCATCACCACCACCACCATCATCATCATCATCATCATCATCATCGTCATCGTCATCGCCATCGTCATCGTCGTCGTCATCATCATCATCATCATCATCATCATCATCATCATCATCATCATCATCATCATCGATCATCATCATCATCATCATCATCATCATCATCATCATCATCATCATCATCATCATCGTCATCATCATTATCATGTTGCGCACCCCTCGCGAGTACGGCCTCCTTTGCCCCCTCGAACGAGCGGTGCCCAGCATCATGGCCTGGCACGGTGGCGGGACTTGCCGCAGGCAGCTGGTATTAACAAGCGCCCCCTCCCACAAGCTCCTTATTAATAAGCACCCCCATCCCAGGCGACCAGCGAAGAGGGGGGGCGCGAATCGACAATCCGAGCCTTCCGCCCGAAGAGGCCCCCAGGAGGCACCAAGGGGCCTGCAAGAAGCCCCAAGAGGCCCCCAGGAGACCCCTAAAGAGGCCCCTAGACGGCTACCAAGAGACCTCCGGACTGCCTCAAACACGCCGCCGACAGACATCCCACGATATCCCAACGGTCATCATCATCATCACCACCATCATCATCGTCATCGTCGTCGTCATCGTCATCGTCATCATCATCATCACCATTCGCATCATCATCATCACGACGCGACGCACGAAGCGCGATTATCTTCGCGCACCTGGTGGGGACCACATCCCCGAAAGCCGCTGAGGGCCCCACCCTCCCTCTCCTCCTGCCCCTCCTCGTCATCATCCTCCCACTCCTCCCTCCATCCTCCCACTCGTCAACGTACCCATCCCCATCCAAGTCCAATCATCACCATCGCAATCGTTATCGTCATCATCATCATCACCATCATCATCATGCTTCTCATCCTCCTGCTCCTGCTCCTGCTCCTCCCCCTCCTCCTCCTCCGTCCCTCCGCATCCCCGTCCTCTTCCCTACTCGCGGGCGCGCGCGCGCGGGCGCGCCGACGGTGGCGGCGACAGCGGCGGCAGACGCGACGGCGACGGCGACGACGGCGACGAGGTAGGGGGTGAGGGAGGCAACGCAACTCTCGGCCTCTAGAGGCCTTTTCCGGGCTCCAGGACCGTCAAAAGCCAATTCAGGATGAAATGTCACGCCCTAGGAAGTTGTCGAAACCTCCAGGGACCTCGTATTGACAAAAATCATGACATCGAATGTCTGGGAGGGCGTCCTCCTCCTCCTCCTCATCCTCAGCATCATCATCATACTCCTCCTCCTCCTCCTCCTCCTCCTCCTCCTCCGCTTCCTTTATCGTATCGTCCTATCGTCGTCATTGTTATCGGCGTCACCGTCGTCGTCATCCTCCTCCTCCTCTTCCTCCTCCTCCTCCTCCACCTCCTCCCTCCCTCTCTCCATCCGTCCTCCTGTCCGCCCTCCTCGTTCTCGTCCTCGTCCTCCTTCTCCTCTTCCTGCCCCCACTCGTCAACGTACCAATCCCCATCGACGTCCTCATCATCACCATCACCAGCACTACCGTCGTTATCATCATCACCACCACCACCACCATCATCATCATCATCATCATCATCATCATCATCATCATCATCATCATCATCATCATCATCATCATCATCATCATCATCATCATCTATCACCATATCATCATCATCATCATCTCATCATCCATCATCATCATCATCATCATCATCATCATCATCATCATCATCATCATCATCATCATCATCATCATCATCATCATCATCATCATCATCATCATCATCATCATCATCATCATCATCATCATCATCATCATCATCATCATCTCATCCTCATCCTCATCACCATCACCATCACCATCACCAGCATCATCATCAGTATAATGCTTCTGATCCCCCTCATGCTCCTGCCCCTGCTCCTCCCCCTCCTCCTCCTCCTCCTCCTCCCTACCCTCCTCCCCGTCCGCATCCGCGTCCTCTTACCCACGCGCTGGCGCAGCGAAGGTGGCGGCGACAGCGGCGGCAGCGGCGACGGCGGCGACGGCGATAGCGACGAGGGAGGGGGAGAGGGAGGCGCTCACGTACAACACAACGCCCGTGTGCGCAAACGTGCCTGCATACATCACAGGTCAAGACGTGCTCCAGGAGGCCGCAGAGGCTCCCCAGGAGGCCCCAGAGGCTCTCCAGGAGGCCCAATACGTTCCCCAGGAAACCCCAGAGGCGTTCCAGGAGGCCCAAAACGTTCCCCAGGAGGCCCCAGAGGCTCTCCAGGAGGCCCAAGACGCTCTCCGGGAGGCCCAAGAGGCTCCTCAGGAGGCCCCAGAGGCGCTCCAGGAGGCCTCAGAGGCGCTCCAGGAGGCCCAAGACGCGCTCCAGGAGGCCCAAAACGCTCGCCAGGAAGCCCAAGACGCTCTCCAGGAGGCCCCAGAGGCTCCCCAGGAGGCCTCAGAGGCGCTCCAGGAGGCGCCAGAGGCGTTCCAGGAAGCCCAAAACGCTCTCCAGGAGGCCCCAGAGTCGCTCCAGGAGGCCCAAGACGCGCTCCAGGAGGCCACAGAGGCGCTCCAGGATGCCCAAGACGCGCTCAAGGCGACCCAAGACGCTCTCCATGAAGCCCGAGACACTCGCCAGGAGGTCCCACAGGCTCCCCAGGAGGCCCTAGAGGCGCTCCAGGAGGCGGTAGAGGCCCTCCAGGAAGCCCAAAACGCTCTCGAGATTCTCCTGTGTTGCTCTGTTGCTGTTGCTGGGGGGTGGGGGGTCGGCCGGGCGCCAGTGAGTGTTTTCGTCTTGTTGTTGTTGTTGTTGCTGCTGCTGCTGCTGCTGCTGTTGTTGTTGTTGTTGTTGTGTTTGTTGTTGTTGTTGCGGTTGCTGTTGCTGCTGCTGTTGCTGTTGCTGTTGCTGTTGTGGTGGTGGTGGTTGTGGTTGTGTTGTTGTTGTGGTTGGGTGGTGTTGTGTTGTTGTGTTTTGTTGCTTGTGTTTGTTGTTTGTGTTGTGTTGGTTGGTGTTGTTGTTGCTGCTGATGCTTATGTGTTGTTGTGGTTGTTGTTGTCAATCGTCGTCGTACGTCGTTTGTTGTCGTTGTTGTGTTTGTAGTAGTAGTGTGTAGTAGTTGATGTTGTTGCGTATTATTGTGTTGTTGTGTCGTTGTTGTTGCTTGCTGTGCTGTGTTGTTGTTGTGTTGTTGTTGTGTTGTTGTGTTGTTGTGGGGGTGTTGCTGTTGCTGTTTGTTGTTGTGTTGTGGTGGTGGTGGTGGTGGTGGTGGTGTGGTGTTGGGGGTGTTGTTGTTGAGCTGCTGCTGCTGCTGTTGTTGTTGTTGGTTGTTGTTGTTGTTGTTTGTGTTGTGTTGTTGTTGGGGTGTGTCGTTGTGTTGTGGTTGTGTTATTGTTGTTGTTGTTGTTGTTGTGGTGGTGGTGGTGGTGGTGGTGGTGGTTGTTGTGGCCGTTTTTCTGACGGTCTCTTGTAGCTGCGGCCTTCGGGGGCGTGCTTCTCAGCCCAGGGCCGTCAAGGCCCGACTGGGGATGGACAGCCGTCCCTGGGGGGAGGTCCTGGGTTTGTTCCCCTCCTCCTCCTCCTGCTCCTCCATGTTCCTCCTGTTCCTCCTCCTCCTTCCCTCCTCCCTCCTCCTTCATCCCTCCTCCTCCCTCTCCTCCTCCTCCTCCTCCCCCTCCTCCTCCTCCTCCCTCCCCCTCCTCCTCCTCTGCCTCCTCGCATCCTCCTCGTCCTCCCCTCCTCCCGCCTACCCCTCCATCCTCCTCTCCTCACTCCTCCTCCTCCTCCTCATCCTCCTCCTCCTGTTCAGTCCCTCTACCTACTCCTTCTCCTCCTGCTCCTCGAATGTGTCGTCCTCCTGCTCTCGTCTTCCTCCTTCTCCTCCTCCTCCTCCTCCGCCAGCCCTGGGGGGAGGGGTCGAGAGGTCCAGGGCAAGGCTGCTCGACGGCATGGAGTCGTCGGAGGTCCGGGTCCAACCCCGACGAGGCAGGAGGAGGGCGAGGAGGCGGGAGGAAGGAGGTTTGACGTTTTCGGGCCTCCCAGGGGGGATCCTAGTCGTCACGTCTGCACTCGCCTCGAAGTCTTGGTCAGAGCGCGTCCAGGAGAGGTCCAGGGACCAATGGTGGACCTCTCACGTCCCTCGCCCTCGCCCTATTGGCGTTGGTTGACCTGGGTTGGGGTCCCGCTCCATGCCGAGCCCCGCCACTCCATGGTGATTTGGTTGCAGCACCTACGTCAAGAGACCAATCCCTTTTAGCATCGACCCTGGTTCACACTTTCCGGACTCCGTGCCGTTTAGCATCGACTCTGGTTCACACTTTCGTATCGCAGCAACTCAGGAAGTCATCCGATCATTGCCATCTGGGCGTCGTGATAGTTATGAACGGTGATTCGGCCTCGTATCGGGATCTCGCCTGACTTGCTGTCCAGGGGATGCTCCCTGTAGTGGACTGGAACGCGTGTAGGGGCTTGTGAGGAAGGGACTTGTGACGGGAAGGTGCACTGTATTGCAGTGTCGTCGGTGCATCCAGGGTTTATTCCTTTCCTCCTCCTTCTCCTCCTCCCTCCTCCTCCTCCTCCTTCTCCTCCTCCTCCTCCTCCTCCTCCTCTTACCTACTCGTCCCTCCTTCGGCCCGGGAAGGCGCGCACGACGAGGAGGGCTGGCAGTACGCCGTGGACTTCTACCTGTCGGACCCGCGGGGCCCTGCAGTGGCAGAGCAGAAGTTCGCGGACGAAGAACGGTATTTCTTTTGGTTGGCGTCGTGTCGACCCGCGGCGACCGCGCCGCTGGCGTTCAACGTTGGACGGCGCCGAACCAGCCAGAATCGGCCGATGTTGATCGATCTGAGTTTCCGGAAACGGCCGATCGTTCAAGGTTAGTCGATCCCCGCGGTGTCAGGAGCCAACGCTGGGGTCGACACGACACGAACCCGCGGTACACACACTTGACCACCATGGGGCATCCTTGTTCCAGGGCGGCTGCAAAGCGCATGTCCCGACGTGCCACAGCGAGCGACGGAACTTCTCGAGCCAGCTCAGGACAGGCGCTCCCGATGGCGGCCAGGCCTTGCTGATACCCGTTATGCGCATCGGCGCCCATGTGTCGATCCGCATCCCCAGGCCGCGGCTATCGCACTGGAGACCGAACTGAGTAAGCTGCATCATTCGGCTCTGTCGGGGCAGTAGAGCCGGCCCCCCAGGGGGCGTAGGCCGTATGTACGAGAAGAGCAATATTGCGCCCCCGTTGCCCTTCCTCTGCCTCTTCTGATGGGCCTGTTTTTCACCACCACCACCACCACCATAAGTTGGAGGGGGGAATGAGGTCGAGGATGACAATGCTGCTGATGATGATGATGCTGCTGCTGCTGATGATGATGATGATGATGATGGTGGTGGTGGTGGTCGTGGTGGGTGGTGGTGGTGATGGTGATGATGATGATGCTGCTGATGATGCTGATGCTGATGCTGATGCTGATGCTGATGCTGATGCTGATGATGATGATGATGATGACGACGACGACGACGACGATGACGATGATGATGCTGATGATGATGCTGATGATGATGATGATGCTGATGATGATGATGCTGATGATGATGATAATGGTGGTGGTGTTGGTGGTGTGATGGGATGATGAATGATGATGGTGATGGTGATGATGGTGATGATGATGATGATTATGTGATGCTGATGAGTGATAGATGACGGACGACGATGGGACGATGATGATGCTGCTGATGATGGTGATGCTGATGATGATGATATGATGATGGATGATGGATGATGTGATGATGGATGATGATGATGATGATGATGATGATGATGATATGATGATGGATGATGATGATGATGATGCTGATGATGATGATGATGATGATGATGATGCTGATGATGGTGAGATGATGAGATGATGAGATGATGATGAGATGATCATGATGATGATGATGATGATGCTGGTGGTGGTGGTGGTGGTGGTGGTGGTGATGTGATGATGATGATGATGGATGATGATGATGATGATGAGGATGAGGATGAGGTGAGGATGAGGATGAGGATGAGGAGGAGGAGGAGGAGGAGGAGGAGGAGGAGGAGGACCCCCTCCCCCTCCCATCTATGCTGGTGGCGGTGGAAAACGAGCCCACCATCTCCCTCCTCGGCCACCTCGTCCTGCGCTCAGCCTGGCTTCCGCAGCGACGACCAGAGGGGCGTGGCCGCCAGAGAGGGTGCGGCCAGCGCCCGTGCAGAGACAGCGAGCGCCGGGCTGCATGTGACAAGCTGTGGGCTGCCTGTCGTGCCAGGACGCGTGCCGTGGATTGCAATCGCCCCGCTCCTCTCCCGTCCTCCGTCCCCCGTCCTCCTCCTCCTCCTCCTCCTCCTCCTCCTCCTCCTGAGACGAGGGGGAAAGGGGAGAAGGAGGAGGAAGGGGGGAGGGGGAGGGCGGGGGAGGTGGAGGAGGAGGACAGGGATGGTGATGCAACCACTGCTGCTGCTGCTCTGCTGCTGCTGCTTCTGCTGCCGCTGCTGGTGATGATGATGCTGATGCTGCTGATACGGATGGTGATGCTGATGATGGTGATGATGTTGACGATGCTGATGATGTTGATGATGCTGACGATGATACCTTTGTTCTTCTTCTATTGTTGTTATCGTTTTGTTGCTGCTGCAACTGCGCTGCTGCTGTCGTTGTTGACTGTCAATTACTAAACATGTTTTACTGTTGGACCCCCCCCAGTCGCCCTCGGCGCCGGCTACATTTCCATTGAAAAATGAGGCTCACGCTCGAGCAGTTTGGGGGGGCGCCCAAACCGGCCCCCCAACAACAGCAACAACGACAACAACGCTCCCGCTCGAGACATCCTCTTTTTTACTCAGAGCCGGTGCTCTTCTTCGCCGCCGAAAACCGCCACCCCAACAGAACCAACGCTTCCGCTCGAGACTTTTCCTCATTTTTCCTTGGACTGGCGCGCTACTCTTTCTCTCATCGGCGCCGCCCCCAGGAAGAACAACGCTCCCGCTCGAGACTTCCTCTTTTTTGCTCGGAGCAGGTGCTCTTGCTCGCCGCCGAAAACCGCCGCCCCAACAAAACCAGCGCTCCCGCCCGAGATTTCCTATCGTTTTGCCACGTACTGGCGCCCTATTCTCTTTTGAATTGGCGCCGCCCCCAGTAAGAACAACGCTCCCGCTCGAGGCCTCCTTGCTTTTTCCTGAGGACGGTGCTGTTCCTCGCCGCCGACAGCCCCCGCCCCGACAAAACCGCGTCTCCCGCTCGAGGCTTCTTCCCTTCTTACTTAAGGCGGTGTTCCTCCTCGCCGCCGACAACCGCCGTCCCAACAGAACCAGCGCTCCCGCTCGAAACTCCGTTTTGTTTTTCGCTGGACAACGTAGCGCCTTATTCTCTTTGCAGTGGCGCCACTCCCAGCAACAACAGCGCCCCTGCTCGAGACTTCCTCCCTTTCTATTCAGGGTCAGGTCCTTGCCTCGCCGCCGACAGCCCCATCCTCACCAAGCCAATCCTGTCGCTCTATACTTCCTTGCCTTTACCCTTGGCTGGGGCTCCACTGGCAGTCTCGCATCGGCGCAGCAGGGCACGGGCATGTGTTTTCGAGGCGGGCTATGTTGAAATTCTTCGGAGGAGATGTTTGCATGCCCTCATTGGGCGGGAGATCTGGGAATCGGAATAACGTGCACCCGCGATCGAACAATGATCCACGTGATGGGGATGGTTATCATGATCGCATGCTTCGTGTGGAAGCATCGCGTATGAGGGTAAACTGATGGTTGTTGTTGGTGGTTGTTTGTTGTTGTTTGTTGTTATTGTTGTCGTTGTCGATGTCGTTGTCTTTGTTGTTGCTGTTGTTGCTGTTGCTGTTTTCGTTCTTGTTGTAATTGTAAGTGTCGTTGTCGTTGCTGTTGTGGTTGTTAAGGTTGTTGTTGTTTTTGTTTTTGTTATCGTTGATGTTCCTGTTGTTGCTGTTGAACATTATTTATTCTAAAGAATAATTATTGTTGGGCCCCCTGGTGCGCGCCCCCCCTGCGCCGCCTAGGCCGCAGCTACATTTTCATCATTTTCGTGAGGAAGCCTAAGAAAAGAGGGTGTGTACAGGATCCGGTTGTTTTGTTGTAATCCGCTTTCCCTTGCAAAAAAAACAATAGAAAATGACATTTCTTGTTCTAATATAATCAAATTTCAAGAATCCCTTGCAAAAAATAAGGTAAAGTGGACATTCGCGCGCGCAAGACGAAATCCTTCCAAAACCTTAGTTGTCGTAGCGATTTTAACATAAAAACATCAAAAAACCAATGGTTTTCAAAAAAAACTTGTCAAAACTTCATCCCGCGCGCTCTTGCGGATTCGTAGGAAACCCAACACTTTTTAAACATTTCTGTCAAACGGGCTTTTGCGAGCAACTTTTTCGAACTTCTGCAACAACGGTTGCGCAACTGCCAGGGCCATCATCCCTGTCAAATAATACCATGCGGGACACATTCGTTTTTTCTTCGCGCGCGCACGCCGTCGTCGTCGGCCGCGGGGCCCTGAATAGTAGACACGGTCGTCCGCAGGCCACGAAGTGAAGTGTCCGAACGTCATAGGGCGGGAAGCTGGGTGTGGGTGGTGGCGAAGAGTCGTTTGGAAATTTGGTAGAGCTTGAAACGGCCCCCCCACAAAGTGGGGGCATTGCCCGCCTCCTATGAAAACCCTGGCACTGGTGAGAACGGAGTGTCCCCACGTGCTAGTAATTGTTGTTGTTGTTGTTGTTGTTGTTGTTGTTGTTGTTGTTGCGGATGTTGCTGTTGTTGTTGTTGTTGTTGTTGCTGCTGCTGCTGTTGTTGTTGATGCTGTTGTCGTTGTTGATGTTTATTGTTGTTGTTGCTGCTTCTGTTGCTGCTGCTTCTATTGTTGGTGTTGGTGGTGCTGCTGCTGTCGTTGTCGTCGTCGTCGTTGTTATTGCAGTTGTTGTTGGTGGTGGTTGTGGTGGTGGTGGTGGTCGTGGCGGTGGTGGTGGTGATCATGATGATGATGGGAGGATGAGGAGGAGGGGGAACATGAGGATGAGGAGGAGGAGGAGCAGGAGGAGCAGGAGGAGGAGGATTGGATTGGATTGGATTGGTCCTCCAGAGGAGGGTGCGGTGGCCTCATGCGTGGCCGCCTTTCCGCGGGGGGCGCCAGGTTCCCAGGGGGCTGTACTGTGCGCGACCCCGCGGTGATCCAGCTAGAGCCCGCCTTGGCATTCTAGGGTAGGGGAAGAGGATGGAGTGGGTCCTCAATCTCCGCTCTGTCCAGATCCACCCCGACCAAAGATTGTCGCAGGCCGGGCAATTGCTGAACCGCAGGACTGTGAACTGGCCAATGGGGGGGGCAATAAGGCCCTCGGCGATTGGAGCTCTTGCATGACCTTTCGACGGAGGACCTGCCATCGCACGACGCAGGTACGAGGCTCGGCGTCGGAAGGAAGGGAGGTAGAACCATTCCCAGGGGGAGGGGGCAGTCCTTCGTGGCCTCGACGAGCCCAGCCTGGCCCAACTCCGCCCTCCAGCAACGGAGGGGGGGGGGCGCAGGCAAGGAGGTCGAGCCAAGTGGGAGAGGGTAAAACGCCGATGGGGCGATCGAGGAGGAGAGAGGAAGGCCCAGCCCATCCGCAGCCCAGCCCAGCCCACCGCGACCAGAAACGACCAGAGAGGGAGGGAAGGAGAG